GATTATCCCATTATCCCATCCTCTGGGCAGGGCTGGGGACCCGCTAGGTGGCTCAGGAATGAGGGAGAGCCGGCCCCACAAGCTGGCCTCTTTCCTGACAGCCTCCCCTGCCCCTTCCACCTGTGGGGCAGAAACACGTGTCCCAGCCAGGTGCTTTGCTCCTGAAGGCCAGAGGGGGGGGAGCAGCCCCCGCTTTGAGCAGGGCCCTTCCTTGACCCAGAGCGGCCCCCCTCCCTCTGCGAGTGGGTCTTTGCTGGTCTTGCCTGGTGGTGCCAAGGCCATGCCAAGCTGGGGCCCTTGAGCCATGATGCCCCCTTTTCTGTGCCCTTGAACAGGCAGGGAAAAAGGCGGGCACCACCGAGGGTGGACTCCCCCATGGGCATGGCCTCCGTGCCCGGCGCCCAAGCAGCGGAGGGTTTCGCCAGCCCTTCCCAAAGCTCTCAGCCAGCTCCTGAGAGCGGCCCTCTGCCCTGGGCAGATCTTCCACAGGAGCCCCAGGGCAGCCGAAGGGCACCCGGCAGCTCCTTCTCCAGGCCCGGCGGTGCTGCTGCTGCTGCTGCTGGAATGACTGGCCAGCCCTCTTTTCTCCTGCCCGGTGCTTGTGGTCCTGGGAGGCTTTGACCAACTTCCTTGCAGGCTGCCTGCGGGCTCGGATCGTGATGAGCCACATGGCCAGCGGTAGCCTTTGGCTCAGAGTCCTGGTCTTGCACGAGAGAGCACGGGAGAGCGGAGCGCCGGCAGGGGGTCTCCTGGCAGTGCCCAGGCCACGAGGAGGAGAAGGAGGGGGGGAGAGACTGAGTGAGTCTGGGGGAGCTGCCTGGGAGGGTGACCAGCCCTGAGCAAAAGGGGGGGGTCATGTCTCAGCAGCTGTGAAGGTGCCCCGCCGGTTCCCAGTCTTTTGCTGGCAGGGTCCAAAGGCCTGTCCCGTGGCCTGGGACGAGGGTCTCCTCCTCGTCGTCCTCCCTGTCTGTGCCCAGGGAGGGAAGGGAAAAAGGCGGGCACCACCGAGGGTGGACTCCCCCATGGGCATGGCCTCCGTGCCCGGCGCCCAAGCAGCGGAGGGTTTCGCCAGCCCTTCCCAAAGCTCTCAGCCAGCTCCTGAGAGCGGCCCTCTGCCCTGGGCAGATCTTCCACAGGAGCCCCAGGGCAGCCGAAGGGCACCCGGCAGCTCCTTCTCCAGGCCCGGCGGTGCTGGCGGGCACCACCGAGGGTGGACTCCCCCATGGGCATGGCCTCCGTGCCCGGCGCCCAAGCAGCGGAGGGTTTCGCCAGCCCTTCCCAAAGCTCTCAGCCAGCTCCTGAGAGCGGCCCTCTGCCCTGGGCAGATCTTCCACAGGAGCCCCAGGGCAGCCGAAGGGCACCCGGCAGCTCCTTCTCCAGGCCCGGCGGTGCTGCTGCTGCTGCTGCTGGAATGACTGGCCAGCCCTCTTTTCTCCTGCCCGGTGCTTGTGGTCCTGGGAGGCTTTGACCAACTTCCTTGCAGGCTGCCTGCGGGCTCGGATCGTGATGAGCCACATGGCCAGCGGTAGCCTTTGGCTCAGAGTCCTGGTCTTGCACGAGAGAGGATTCTGCCTGCCCAGCCCTGAGCAAAAGGGGGGGGTCATGTCTCAGCAGCTGTGAAGGTGCCCCGCCGGTTCCCAGTCTTTTGCTGGCAGGGTCCAAAGGCCTGTCCCGTGGCCTGGGACGAGGGTCTCCTCCTCGTCGTCCTCCCTGTCTGTGCCCAGGCGCGAAAGCCCTTTTCAGCCGCTGCCACCACCCCCGGCCCCTGCAGGAGATGTCTCTGGGGGAATAGAGTCTTTCGGGTGGTTTCTCCCCTCACCTACCCCCCCCCTTTTGCTCCTGCAGCAACAACAGCAACAGCAACCACACCCTTAGAACTGCATAGCTGTCGTGGGGGGGCCCAGTGGGGGACTGAGCGCCGCAGCCGGAGACCCAAACCCCAGACCTGTCCAGCAGTCGTGGGGCTGCTTTGGCCAGGGAAGCGAGTCTGGTGCCAAACCGAGGCTTTGACCAACTTCCTTGGAGGCTGCCTGCGGGCTCGGATCGTGATGAGCCACATGGCCAGCGGTAGTCTGCTCTTCAGAGTCCTGGTCTTGCACGAGAGAGCACGGGAGAGCGGAGCGCCGGCAGGGGGTCTCCTGGCAGTGCCCAGGCCACGAGGAGGAGAAGGAGGGGGGGAGAGACTGAGTGAGTCTGGGGGAGCTGCCTGGGAGGGTGATGGATCCTTTCCATTCCCCCAGGAATGCGGAGTCCCCTTCCCTAAGGACCAGCCTCTGGACACGTCGCGCATCGAGTGGCTGCGCATGGGCACCACGGTGGCCACCAACGCCTTGCTGGAGCGGAAGGGGGAGCGCGTGGCCTTGCTCATCACCAAGGGCTTCCGTGACCTCCTGCACATTGGGAACCAGGCCCGGCCCCACATCTTTGACCTGGTCAGTGCTTGGGGGGGGCAGGGGCAGGGGACGGGCAGAGGCAGAAGGGGCTGCTTTGTGCCCTCCTTCCCTGGCAGGGGTCCGGCCCGGACTCCGCCCCGTGTCGTGGGCTTTGCATGGCGGAGGAGGGGAAGGGGCCATACTGTGGGAGGGGGCAGACCTTCCCGGACCCCCCTGGTCCGACACGCGGCTCCAGAGCCTCTCCTCTTCCAACCCGCCGCCCCCCGCCTCCCTCCCTCCCTCCTTCCCAGGATGCTTTCCTCTCCCTTCTTAAAGAGCTGGCTTTGGAAATTTCCACGGCTTGGGGGGGGGGGAAGCGGGGGAAGGGCCCCGTGGTGCTTGAAATGTGCTCTCCGCAAGAGGCCGGAGCAGACCGTTCCTCCTCCAGGCTTCTTCTTCGGCTTCTTCTCCCACCGTCCACCCACCTGTCAGGGATCTGGGCCCCTCGTGGCCAACGCTGCTGCAGCCCCCGGGGGTCCCGCCTGAAAGGGAAAGGCTCGGTGGGAGAGGGCAGCCCTCTCTGGACCTCAAGGGCAAGTTGTCCCAAAGATGTGCCCCCCCAGTCCACACCCCCCACCCCACTCCATGTGGGGGCTAATAGGGCTGGCTACCTGTGGGGGCTGGTCGGTTCCTCCGTGTGGCTTTGACCACGAGGGGCTCTTGCTCCAGCCTCTCCCTCTTGGCTCAGAGCGAGCCCTCCAGAAGGGGCCTCCTCCGGTCCCTTCGTTGCACGACAGCCATGCACGCGGGGGGGCGGGCGGAGGGGGGGGAGAGCAGCGTTCAGGCGTCGGGCAGCCTGCTCCCGGCCCTTGTGGATGTCCTTTGGGGCCCTGTGGGGAGCCGGAGCCTGTGCGGCTGTCTTTCGTCCGGGGTGTGTGTGTCATCTCCTGTGGTTCTAGACCAGCAGCGCCCCGACCGTCCAAGAACGAGGCCACTTTCCCAGGCCCCGATGTGGGGATCTTGCCTGGAGGAGCAGAGCCTCCTGCCGGCCAATTCCCCCGAAGCGTTCAAGCCTTTCAGTGAAAAGCAGGGCAGCTTCTGCGCAAGGCGTCCTCCCCTGGGGGGGGGGCTTCTCTGGAGCCGCCCTCCCTTGTGCCCAGGACCAGACAGGCAGGCCTCGGAGGGTTGTGCTGTGCGGAAGTGTAAAGGGAGGGGGCGCTGGTGGGGTTCCCTGACTTTCCTGTGTGTCTCCCTCCCTCTCCCCCCCCCGTCCCTGCCAGGAGGTGTCCATGCCGGAGGTCTTGTACGAGGCGGTTGTGGAAGTGGACGAGCGCCTGATCCTGCACCAGGAGGGGTGCCAGCTTTTCGGCTCAGCTCCGTCCGTCACAGGTGGGAGCGCCGAGAACGGGGGGGCCGGGACCTCCCCTGCCAGCCGCGTCCCAAAGGAGGCAGCCTTGGGCCTCCGGGTGGAGGAAAAGACGGGAGAAACTGTATTCTTGCTTTGGAAGCTCGGCGCGTTTTGGCCAACAGCCTCCCCTCAACATAAAGATAGAAATAAAATACTGTAAGGGACAACGGTGCCAAGTTTTTAATAAAAAGAACAGCGTTTATCATGTGTTTTTCACATCCTGAGACCTGATATTTTATTTGGAATCCTGCCCGAGGTGGGAGAGAGCCCGCCTGGGCAGCTTGGCCTCGGCCAGCGAGGAGGGGATGGTGGGGGTTCCGGTTCCACGGCCCTGCCCTGGCCGTCAGGAGGGGCAGGGCAGTTTCCTGACGGGCTCCCCTCCTCTTTCTCTTTCTCTCTCTCTCTCTTTCCCTGCTTCCTCCCAGGTCTGACCGGGGAGTCGGTGGTGGTGGACCGGCCTGTGGACCTGGACGCGCTGAGGGGGGAGCTGGAGGTGCTGCTGGCGCGGGGCATCCGGAGCCTGGCCGTGGTGCTGCTCTACTCCTTCCTGTGAGTTTGGGGACTGGTCGGGGAGGGATCAGTGGGTGCCTCTGAGCTCCCCGTCCTCCCCCCCCGGAGAAAGGGGGGGTGTCTCGCCTAGGAAATGCGCTTGGGGCCGGTCCTCTGTCCGATCCATCAACTAGGATTCTGCTGGCCCAGGACGCAGGACGTCTCCTGCAAGTGTTTTAAGGCCAGGAGCCCCTCCCTGGGGTGGCAAAGCCATGTCTTTCTGACCCAGAGCTCTGGGAGGGGGGCAGGCGTCCCTAGGCAGGCCTCTGCCTTGGCCAAGCCTTCAGGTGGCCGAGTCTCTTAGGCGGCCTCGGCTGGGGCAGAGGTGCCATCCGGGCAGAGGGATCTGCGTCGTGTCCCCCGCAGGGAGGGCAGCGCTCCTGGCCTCCAACCTGCAACCGTGCCCTCCAGCGCATGCGCAGCTTCCTCCTGTACATATTTACTCAAAAGTAATCCCAGTTTATTCCAGTGGGAATGACTCCCCAGGGCCCACGTGCCAGACTGTGCAGACCGGTGGTCAAGGAATTGCCTCGTGGCCTCTCGGAGAACACAGACGCTTTGTCTGCTGGACGTTCTGCACCGGCTGCAGGCGGCTTTGCCCGTCACCGTCGGCCAGGATTTGTTGAGGCCCAAGAAAGCGTGAGGGTTGTTCTGGCGCCGCCGGGCGCACTGTTGTTTTTGCGGCCAGAGAGCCGTGTGGCCAGAGCACCTCCCCACCCCACCCTGGGAGTTATATAATTCTGCAACTCAGGAGTTCAAGCATCAGCTAAGCCTTCCTGGAGATGCCTTGAAAATACGCCACAAAAAGAAGTCACCAGACCTTTGTTTTCCAAACCAGTTGGCCAAAGTAAAGGAGAAAAAAAGAAAATGGAAGTGGGGTGGGGGAATAAGGGGCCTTTTAAAGACCAGCTTTTTTTTTTCTCCCCAGTTTGATTTTTTGTGGACCCAAATCCGCTTCTTCACATGCAGGACTTGTGGATTTTCATATGTGAGAACTCAGATTTAAATAAGTTTGTTGCAGGACTATGGTACAGGTGAAAACAAAGTAAATATAAAAAGTAAAAAACAAAAATATTGTGGCCCTTTAAATATTAACTTTTGTATTTTGTTTAATGTGGCCTCTTTTTTTGGACAAGTCCATTTCATCAGACCCTTTTTGTTTTTATTTTGTATTCACCTATCAGGCTTGCGCAAGGACTACTGTACAATATTTTCCTTTGCGTTCTTCCCTCCAACCTCCTCCTGTCCTTTTGCCAAAAGGCTGAGGTGGGCTTCCTCGGCGGCTTTTTGGGAAGTTTTTCCTAGCAAGGCCTTAGATTAAATGCAAACAAAGAGACACACAAGAAAGATAATAAATAATGTTTAACAGCAGAGATGTCTGCAGGCTAAGGGAGTTACTCTTGTACCCTCTGATGGCAATCATTCATTCATTCATTCATTCATGAAGGTGAGTGTTCAAAGTCAGTACTAACAAATCCAAGGTCAACTGCTGATCAGAACTGCTGCTCGATTCCTTTGGGGTGCCGAGGGAGACGTTGCTGCAGGAGCAGCGCGCGGGGGGGGGGTGTTTGCTGCAGGAAGAATCCCCTGAATGCCTGCTTTGTGGTGATCCAGCCGACCAAAAAGGCGTAAAAACAACAGTGGGCTTTCAAGGTCTCCAGGCAGAAGATGTTGCGGACATTTAAGGGGGGGGGAGGAAGGTGTGGGTTTTACTTGATGCAAAGGTCGAAGGTTGCCGTTCTCTCCCCACATAGAGGGACATAATGGAGAGAGAACCCTGCCTCTCTGAAAGGCGAGAGGAGTCCAGTGGCGTTGTGAGTCCCTGCACAGGGGGAGCGGTCACTGTCCTAAACTCACACCCGGCGGCCTTCAGTGCCTCACCCCACCACACCCGCTGAGCCGGGTGGCCCTAGTTATTTCTCTTCCTTTGCTTAGTGTCCACACAGGCCCACCCCCAACTTCTCTAAAGGAGCAAGAGGAAGTCATTGGTGTTGCTTATGGTTATGGGGGCAAAGGGCAAAGGGCTGACCCCAAGGCCCTTCTGTCTCCGGCAGGTGGCCGGAACACGAGCGGAAGGTGGGGGCGCTGGCCCGAGCGCTGGGCTTCCGGCAGGTCTCCCTTTCCTCAGAGGTGATGCCCATGATGAGGGTGGTGCCCCGGGGGTACACGGCCTGCGCAGACGCCTACCTCACGCCGTGCATCCGCCGCTACCTGGACAGCTTCCGGGCAGGCTTTGCAGCCCATCTCCAGGTGAGACGGGGAGGCGGATCTCCTTCGCCCTGCCCGCCAAGCCCCCCCGGGTGATTAGCACTCTCGACTGGCGTACGTGTGTTGTGTGCGCATGTGCATGCGCACACATAGCCCTGGCTTACGTGAGCCTTTCTTGCCCTGTGCAGTTTCCGCCAGTGCGGGGTGTGCGTGTGTGGGGGGGGGAGTTGCTGTCGCTCTCCACTGCGGACAAACGGATCCCTCTTCTGCCATCGCTCCCCTGACTCCACGTAGGCCACCCTCTGCTGTGGGGACAGGCCAGGCTCAGGATGGGGTGGCCTCCCAGAGAACCTCGGAGCTGGCTGAAGCAGAATCCGTGATGGACTCAACCGAGAGCAGAGACCGCTGGCCACCCGGTCCCTGGTTGGGCGTGTTGGTCTCCAGTGTGTATGGAAACAGTCTGGGGCCAGGAGGGAAGCGCCTCCCTGGGCAGCCCCGTTGGTTCCCTTGCCGGGTGCAAGAGTCTTTCTCCGTGCGAGCGAGAGGGGAGGGCGTCAGGCTCTCCCACCCCTTTCCTCACCACTGCCCAGCCGTGGCCCCACCTGGACCCAGAAAGAGCCCCTGGCCGGTCAGCTTCCAGGCTGGGCAGAAAGGAGAAGCCGGCTCTGCCTGGCCTCTGGCTCCCGGGCCGCTCGCTTCTCTCCAGGAGGGTCTCTCACTGCCCCCCCCCAAAAAAGAGCATCGGGCAGGATCTGAGTGCGAGGTTGACGCAGGGGGTGTGGGTGTGTGTGGGGGGGAGACTGTCGCAGGCCTGGATGCTGATCCACCCCTTCCCTGCGGCTTGTCCCCACAGGGCGTGCCGGTCCTCTTCATGCGCTCTGACGGTGGCCTCACCCCCATGGAGGCCTTCAGCGGCTCCCGCGCCATCCTCTCCGGCCCCGCGGGGGGAGTCGTGGGCTATGCCGTCACCACCTACCAGAGGATGGACAGGCAGCCCGTCATTGGCTTTGACATGGGAGGTGAGCCGCGGGGGAGGGGCGGGTGCCCCCCCGAGGGGCCTCACCCAGGGGTGCAGGAAGCGTGGGCCGGCCAGCGTGGCCCTCACTTCCCCGCAGAGGGCAGGGCCGGAACTTTCTAGCCTGCTGGAGCAACGTGGAATAAAACCACGTCCGCCCGGCTTGTAAAGGACGAAAAGGTTGCCGCTGTGTTGCCCGAAGAGGGACGTGGCCCGTGGCATCCCAACTCCCCCCCCCCATGGTCTCCTGCAGGCACGTCCACAGATGTGAGCCGCTACGCCGGGGAGTACGAGCACGTCTTTGAGGCCACGACGGCCGGGATCAGCATCCAGGCCCCCCAGCTGGACATCAACACGGTGGCGGCCGGGGGCGGCTCCCGGCTCTTCTTCCGGTGGGCATGGCCTTCCCTCCCCTTGGCGCGCTCACTTGCTCGCCAAGGACCTTCCTGGGCCTTGGGATGCTTCCAACAAGGACAAAAAAGGTGAAAGCAACAACAACAAAAAGCATTCTTCAGGTCCGTGTGTACTAAAAGACTGAGGGAATAAATAGTGGCTCAGCTACTGGACAGGGGCAGAGCTACAAACAACGCTCGGATGCCCTGCGGCCCCGTGTCCCTCCTGTGGGGTCACTAGTTTGGGGCCCGTGGCAACCCCTTCTCCCCCCAGCCCCTCCGTGCATCCTCCGTGGCCCCTTGCACGGACGGACACACACACACATCCTCCCATCCCCTCCTCTCTTTCCTCCTGCAGATCTGGTCTCTTTGTGGTTGGCCCCGAGTCGGCGGGGGCCNCCAGGGGTGGGAGGGAGCTGAGTCGCCCTCTCCCTGCTCCTCCGCTTGCCCTCAGGGGGCCCGCTCACCGTGACCGACGCCAACCTGTGCCTGGGTCGCCTCCTGCCCGCCTACTTCCCGCACATCTTTGGGCCGAACGAGGACCAGCCCCTCTCGCGGGAAGCCACGCTGGAGGCCTTCCGGGAGCTCGCCGGCCAGGTCAATGCCTTCCTGGGTCCCTCTGGGCCACCGCTCAGCGTCGAGGAGGTAGCCATGGGCTTCATCCGGGTGGCCAACGAAGCCATGTGCCGGCCCATCCGAGCCCTGACGCAGGTATGCCATGTGTGCAGGGGAGGCGGCTCAGTGGTTCCCCTTTCCTCTGCCCGGCCTGCCTTGGGGGGCAGAGTTCGGAGGGAAGCATCCGTGCGCCCTCCCCACCCCCCGAGCCTGGTGGGATCCATGCGGATTTCCCAGGAAGGCTGGGGACCAGCCCTGCAAGGGCAGAACGGAGGGACCCACCCAGAGATGCTGGGCTGGGGCCAGTGGCCGGTGGGTGGGTGGGTGGATTTTCCCTGGGCAGAGGGAAAGGAGGGTGGCCAGCTGGGACGGCTCTTCTTCGGGTTCTGGCCGTGGTCTGAAAGGAACAGCCGTATCTTCCCAAGGAAGGAAAAACATGGAGTCTGGTCTGGGTGGAGGGGGTGGAGCAGGCAATGGTGGGGAAGGGACGGGGGGGGCTGTCTGTCCGCCCACCCCCCTGTCCAGGTTGGCATATAAGGCCTTTCTGAGTGACTGTTTTTGCTGGAGAGAGGCTCAAAGTGAGCAACTAGGATGTAAAGAAAAGCGGGTGTGCTTGCTTGCGGGTGTGTCTGTGTGCATGTTTGTGTGTGTGTGTGTGAATTAGAGCCATCTCAGCTGCCTTCCTGGACATCAGAGGATTTCCTGGCTTTTGCAGGGAGGAGGAGAGATGGATTGGGGCCCCTGGAGTCGGGCTCCAGAGGAGAAGAGGGTGCTTGGGAGTGGAAGGAGCCAGCCGGCCTCTCTCTCCCTTGGTTTCCCTCCACAAAGTCCTGGCCCTTCGTCAGAGCCCCCTCCTGGCCCGCGGAGCCCTTGGGGAGCCCTTGCTATGGGCACCAGCCCCCTTTGAAGTGGGGGTGGGGGGGGGAGCTCCATGGCCCTGCCTCCGTATGGGGAGAAGCTGACAGTCTCCTGCCTCCTTCTTGGCAGGCCCGGGGCCACGATACATCGTGCCACGTCCTGGCTTGCTTCGGTGGAGCCGGAGGGCAGCACGCCTGTGCCATCGCGCGGGCGTTGGGCATGAGCAAGGTCTTCATCCACAAGTACGTGCTGATGCTGGGGGTGGGGTGGGGGAAGCAAGAGAAGGGCTGAAACTGGAGCGCACTTTACACTGGAGGGGTCACAGCAAGGCTGCATCGTCAGAGAACGCCCCCCCCCTTGAGACACGGCTGAGACCAAAGGTTGCCCCCCCTCCAGCTGCCTGCCCTCCTCTTTCTGCCGGTGGTGTGTGTGTGAGATTGGGGGGAGCGGTGTGGGACCTTTCGGGGGCTGGGGAGTGAAAGCAGGTCCCTGCTTGTGTTGGGCCCTCCCCGTTTCAGTCTTGAGAGGGACCTTGGGGGCCTCCTAATGGGAACCAGCGGGTGGGACAGGAAAAGGAGGGGCTGGGCTGGGCTGGGCTAGGGAGTAGGGTGGCCGCTTGGGACCCCTCTGGAGCAGGAGACGGCCAGCCCTCCGATCCCTGATCCAGGATCAAACATGCAGCTGATTTCCCAGGAGCCGGCCGGCCGGCCCGTCTGCCGCCGAGAGTCTGCCCGAGGGACAGGAGCTCGGCCGCCTTCGCTTCTGGACGTTGGATCCATCTCCGGCTGCCCTCTTCTCCCCTCTTGTGACTTAAGCTGGCCTCCTTGCTCCAGGCCCACTCTGGCGCGGGAGCCCCACCTGAACCTGGAAGGCGGGTTGTTGGTTTTTCTGAACCGCGGGTGCGACAGGACGGAAACGGTGCCCGTGGGCCAATAAGGGCAGGGAAGGAAAGCTCTCCGGGCGCTAGACAGGAGCTCTTCCGTGGAACCTACGGCCACAAGATGTGCTGGGCCTAGAAACCGAGCTACTCCAGCGTAAGGAAGTAACGGAGTTGGTTTCTGGGAAGCCTGGGCCGTGTGGGTTGGGATCAAGTCCTTTGAGGGGTCAGGGCAAGGCCTGGGCTGACGGCCTCCTCCTCCCCACACCAGGCACAGTGGGATCCTCTCCGCTTACGGCCTGGCCTTGGCGGATGTGGTTCATGAGGCCCAAGAGCCCTGCGCCCTGGCTTACTCCCGGGAGGCCTACGCCCGACTGGACGAGCGGATCGCGGCTCTGGAGCAGACCTGCGTCGCGGCTTTGGAAGCCCAAGGCTTTGCCAGGTAGTGGCGTCCCGACCGCTGCGCTGGCCGGTTGGGGGGAGAGCGGGCCAGGGACGGGAAGATCTGCTGGGGGCTCAGGTGTCTGGGACGTGGAGGCTGAGGCCCCTGGCCCCTCTTGGGGGGGTGGTTAATGAGGGAGCTGTGGGCCTGGGGAGACCCCGGCGCTTCAGCCTTCTGGCGGGGCTGGCCCAGGAGGGTTGCTCAGCCCTTCTGCTTTGCTCCCCCTGGACAGGTCCCAGATCAGCACCGAGTCCTTCCTGCATTTGCGCTACGAGCGGACGGACTGCGCCCTCATGTGCTCCGCCAAGGGCTATCCGGCCACCCCGGAGACCTGCTGCAGTGGGGACTTCGGCGCTGCCTTCACAGCCAGGTGGGGTGGCAAAGCTCCAGCCTTGCCTGAGGCTTGGCAGCACCCGGGACGCCGCACCCTCTGCCCGTGGGCACCTGGTGGCGGGAGGTCACAAGGCTGCTCCTGCTCTGCCCGGCCAGGTATCAGCAGGAGTTTGGCTTCACCATCCCCAACCGGGCCATCCTGGTGGACGACGTGCGAGTGAGGGGTATTGCCAGCTCCCAGTTGGACCAGGAGGAGCCGTTGGCCGCCAGCAACGGACCGGCCCAGCGGAAAATGGTGAGGCCCTCCCACCCCTCTTTTCCTGTTTCCCTTGCTTTTCCTGGCTCCTTGTACTTTGGGTTTGAGATAAAATGTGTCGCAGGGTGCTATTACAACGTTGTTATGGAAGAAGAAGCGGAGGTGAAAGCACGAGTTTGCATTGTTTGGACCCCCCCCCACCCTTGCCTTCTGAGCTGCAATCAGTCCGAAGGGAGCAGCTGCGAGGACAGGTCCCTTGACGGGCCTAAGGGGGGGGGGAATCCAGTGTCAGGTCAGGGAGCCTGGTCCCTAAGAGTCATATAGAACTTTGTAGACCTCTAGGGGAAAAACTTAAGGGATGTGGTGGGGCTGCAGGTTAAACCGCAGAAGCCTCTGTGCTGCAAGATCAGAAGACCTACAGTTGTAAGATCAAATCCACGCGATGGAGTGAGCGCCCATCGCTTGTCCCAGCTCCTGCCAACCTAGCAGTTCAAAAGCATGTAAAAATGTGAGTAGATAAATAGGTACCACCACGGTGGGAAGGTCACGACGCTCCGTATCTAGTCGCGCTGGCCACGTGACCACAGAAAATGTCTTCAGACAAACGGGGTCTCTACGGCTTGGAGACGGGGATGAGCACTGCACCCTAGAGTTGGACATGACTGGACTAAATGTCAATGGGAACCTTTACTTAGGGAAAAAACAGAAGTCTGTGTTTCTCATAGCTGGCCTTTATCCCAGTTAAGAGTTAATTCCAGAATGAAATTATATCAAAATTCATCTGAGTATCATGGTATAAGTCTTTTCACTGTTGCAAAGATTCAAGGCAACATCAGCTTGTCTAATTCTACAAGCTTTATTTTTCTACAGTGCTTTCATGTTTCATATGTGCAATAGTACTTCAGGTATTGTGAGCCTCGAAAAACTATCAGCATAAAGGCTTATACAGAAATTCATTCCTGCAGTTTATGAACGCCTGCAGGTGTGATTGCCATCCAAAATTCTAATTTCCTTACTATGAGACTTTGCAAACAAAAGTGCATTCATAAACAGAAGTTGCAGGCAGAAATTAAATCGTAAGTTTATAAAGGTGCAAAAGTTACAGACAAGAACTTAAATCGTATTTGAATCCAAAAATAAAGGAGCTTATAGCTTAAAAATGCATATTTAAAAATATGGGGATACAAATATAAAAGTTCTTAAAAATAAGAATGTATATTTTAAAAATTATTTTATTAGCCTCTAAGCATATTAAGAACACACACAAAACAATTCTAAGTGCTCACCCAGCCAAACTAACTTGAATCTATGAAGAAAAATCCAGGCTGTCCTCATCATCTGCTGCTCTTGGTGCTACATTAGTGCTGTTGGTATCCAGTGTGTGTGTGGCATGGCATGTTGTCTTGCATTGTTTGATGTGTGTGTGTGTGCGTGTGTGTTGCCTCCTTATATATATATTCATTTGCTTATCTTTTCCCTTCAAACTGAGTTTGTAACGGGAATTGCTATTGTTCCTACATCTCCCTGTAACTGCAACGGTTAGTAACTCTGAATCGTGGCAAGCTGCTTTTTATGATGATAAACATTATTGTTGTGACTAAAATTCACAAAGCCTAGAGACATAAAGGCTTTTAAAATATATTACCTGGTATGCCAAGGTACTATAAAACTGGAATGTATTAGTTTTAGAAACTTCATGTTATACCAACACATTGCAATAAAAATACGTTCAATTGTGAACTATGAAAAACAATTATGTGGCAAGGCGAGATGATCGTACAACGATGTGGCTTCCAGGCCTGGCTGGAGAGCAGGCTGATCGTTTCACACAAGGCATCTTAATAAACTGCTGTTCGAGCCTCCTTTTTAAAGCGCAACCCACATTTGTGCTTTAAATGCACATGAAATCAGGCTTGGGCTGAAACGAACTTGGCGTTGTGTGTCCTATGGCCGGACGGGAGTTTTTGAGGTTTTACGTTTCAGCCGGTGCCTCCGACCTAGTCGGCTGCGGGAAACCTCGTGTGAGTTCTGCAGGTCGGATGTTTGGAGGTTGGGGTGGCTGGAATTCCTCTCCCGATCCGAGGGTGTTACCTGCCACCTCCTTGGCCACCCCCAGGTGTCCCGTTGTTACTTTGAGGGCGGGTACCAGGCCACCGATGTCTACCTGTTGGAGGACCTCTTTTGGGGCCACTGCATACCTGGTCCAAGCATCATCATCGATAAGAACAGGTGAGCAAGAGGCTAGGGGACATCTCAACCGGCTGGGATCCTGCCTGCTCGTTCAGCCTCTTTCACAGAGTCTCCCCCCCCCTCCGTGGCTGCCCAGTGGCAGAGAGACTGCAGTGGACAGGGTGGGTGGATGGGGGGTGGCGGAATCTGCTTCTCCCTAGGAGCCTGGGATGGGGTGGAAAGGGCAGGGCAGGTGGGAGGCTGCCAGGCGAGGGGAGGACGTAAGCTGCGTCTTGTCTGTTCCCCCCCCCCAGCACCATCCTGGTGGAGCCAGGCTGCACAGCGTCTGTGACCCGCGGTGGGGACATCTGCATTGCAGTGGGCTCGGGGCCCGAGCGCCTGGTGGGCCCCCAGGTCGACCCGATCCAGCTTTCCATCTTCTCCCATCGCTTCATGAGCATTGCAGGTGAGGGGGGGGAGGGAGGGAGGGGGAGGCATTTCGCGCTGAAGGGTCCGAGCTGAGCCGCCCCTTCTTCCATCCTTTCTTCCTGGCCCTCACATGGTCCCGCTCGCCAACAGAGCAGATGGGACGTATCCTGCAGCGCACGGCCATCTCCACCAACATCAAGGAGCGGCTGGACTTCTCCTGTGCCCTCTTTGGACCCGAGGGGGGGCTGGTCTCCAATGCCCCCCACATCCCTGTCCACCTGGGAGCCATGCAAGAGACCGTTCAGTTTCAGGTAAGGGAAGAGAAGAGGGTGCGGGAGAGCCAGGCAGGGACTTCGCGGCCCGGCCTCCCTCCGCCCCAGATGGCTGGCCTGCTTTTCGTAGCACTGTGAGCCTGGCTGATCGGCTTTGGGCTTTGCCCCCCTGCAGGTGGGCTCTCGGGGTGCAGAGGCTGGGCTCCCCTTACGTCCTGGGGGCTCCGGCTCCTTCCTGCTCAGAGCAGCCGAGGCGGGGAAGAGCCGCTGGGCTGGGTGCCCGGAGGCCTTTGCTATGCTCCCTGGCATGCTGTGGCCCTGATGGCCTCCCTGCCAGTCAAGCCTGGGAGCTCAGGCCCCTCCGCCTTCGAGGGATCCAGATACCTGGCGCCATGCCACAAAGGCCGCAGCTGCACCCCCTCCGGAAACGCCTGTTCTGCCATTCCAGATTCAGGCCCTGGGCCCGGACATCCGCGAGGGAGACGTCCTGCTGAGCAACCACCCGTGTGCCGGGGGCAGCCACCTGCCTGACCTGACAGTCATCACCCCGGTGAGGTGTCATGCCAGTCTGAGAGGCGCTGGGTGGTGACGGGGGGGGGGCAGGAGAAGGGGTGGGAGGGGAGGTGTTGGAGTCTCCTGGCTGCTTCTGGGCCTTGGCCTCCGGGAGGGCCCCCTGCGCCCCACCTTCCGGGCCAGCCTCTCCCCGCTGCCCTTTCCACCACCACCAACTCGGTTCTCTCCCATTTATGAGGACCCCAGAGAATCTGGACGAGATTCTTGCCGCCTGTGACCTGGCACCTTTCCGGGTGCTTGCTCGTGCCAGGGCTCGGCTCAGGCCTGCCAGGTCTGCACGCTCTCTTCCCTGGCCTCTTTGGCTAAGTCGCTTCGCTCTGCGGCAGGTCTTCCACCCCGGTCAGCCTAAGCCGGTGTTTTTCGTGGCAAGCCGGGGGCACCATGCGGATATCGGGGGGATCACACCGGGCTCCATGCCCCCCCACTCCCGCTCCCTCCAGGAAGAAGGGGCTGTCTTCATTTCGTTCAGGCTGGTGAAGGACGGCATCTTCCAAGAGGATGGTACGGCCCTGCAAGGCGCTCTCTCTCTCTCTCTCTCTCTCTCTCTCTGTGTGTGTGTGACAGCTTTGCCTGCATCAGGGCAGCCCTCCCTGCCCAGCCTCTTCCTTCCAGGGTTCACGCCCACCCTGGACCTCCAGGGCTCCTGACGGCCAAGGCCGTTTGCTGGGGAGCAAGGCATCCCCTGGACTCTCCCCCCCCATCCCACTAAGACCCTCCTACCTTTGCAGCCGTGACGGAGGCCCTGATGGCGCCAGGCTCCCTCCCAGGCAGCAGCGGCACGCGTAACCTCCAGGACAACCTGTCTGATCTGCGCGCTCAGGTGGCCGCCAATCAGAAGGGGATCCAGCTGGTGAATGAGCTGATCGCGCAGTATGGGTTGGAAGTGGTGCAGGCATATATGGCACACATCCAGGTGAGGAGAAGGAGGTGGGCTTCCCTGCGGTGTGTGTGGGTGTGTGTGGGGGGGGAAGAGATGTGGCTGTCCATCTGGGCCAGTGAGAATGGCCAGCTGACCCCTGCGGGGGGTCAGTGAGCCTGGCACAGAGTGCTGGTGCCTCCTCCTCCTCCTCCTCATGGTGACGTTGTCTTGCAGGAAGAGATACTGCCCCTATTTTATTGGAATTTGTAAGCTCATGGCGGCATGCGTTGCAGCTGGCTATAGACTGGCTCTATTGCCAACTCCCCACCTCAGCTGCTTTGTGCGCACTCGGTGTGGGGGGGGGAGTCTTATGGCAATGAGCCACCCCTTGCACTCAGTCTGGGTTTTAAAGCCCTCCACCCCTGGTGCTTCTCCTCCCACTACTATGGGAAGAGCCTCAAGGGAGGAAAAGCAAGCATGTGGTGCCTCCCCGATTCTCTCCCTCTCCCTCTCCCCTTCCCTGCCCCACCCCTCATTGTCAGATTCAAGG